TGGCAAACAGAGGGGATGGACACCATCCATGCCCATCCTTGCTAATAGCCATCGATGGACCTATCCTCCATGAATTTACCTAGTTCTTTTTTGAACCCTGTTATAGTCTTGGCCTTCACAACATCCTCTGGCAAGGAGTTCCACAGGTTGACTGCGTTGTGTGAAAAAAATACTTCCTTTTGTTTGTTTTAAACCTGCTGCCTATTAATTTCATTGGGTGACCTCTAGGTCTCGTGTTATGAGAAGGAGTAAATTATACTTCCTTATTTACTTTCTCCACATCAGTCACGATTTTATGGATCTCTAACATATCTGCCCTTAGTCATCTTTTTTCCAAGCTGAAAAGTCCCAGTTTAACTCATCTCTCCTCATATGGCAGCCGTTCCATACCCCTAATCGTTTTTGTTGCCCTTTTCTGAACATTTTCCAATTCCAATATATTTTTTTGAGAATGGGTGACCATATCTGCACGCAGTATTCAAGATGTGGGCGTACCATGGATTTATATAGCGGCAATAGGATATTTTCTGTCTTATTATCTTTCCCTTTCTTAATGATTCCCAACATTCTGTTCGCGTTTTTGACAGTCGCTGCACATTGCGTGGATGTTTTCAGAGAACTATCCACAATGACTCCAAGATCTCTTTCTTGAATGGTAATAGCTAATTTAGACCCCATCATTTTATATGTATAGTTTGGATTATATTTTCCAATGTGCATTACTTTGCATTTATCAACATTGAATTTCATCTGCCATTTGTTGCCCAGTCACCCAGTTTTGTGCAATCCTTTTGTAGCTCTTTGCAGTCTGCGTAGGACTTAACTATCTTGAATAGTTTTGTAAGAGCCATTTGCTGTGGGACCGTAAGGAAGTCTGCGGCCAAGCACAGGGACTTGAACCTAGGTCTCTCAAGTCCTAAGCAATTGCCCTGCCCGTCGGCCCATACTTCTGCACTACACAACACTCCATTGTGCTACACCATCATGTTTCTGAGGAACAAACTATAAACACTGCCAGCGTGTGGCCCAGATGACAAGCCTGTTTGCTCTGTGCTGCTGCCTCCCTCTTTGGCTCTAGTGGTGAGAGAGCAGTCTTGTTCCAATGGGAACACCCAGCAATTGATTCCCCAGCCCTGCACTCCTCCCCTTTCCAGCCCAAGCACTCCTGAGACACTGGGTTTGCCCTGCGCTGAGGCAGGAAGAGGAACGTTTCTGTGGAATTCTCCTCGTCATGTGATTGGCAGCACATCACTGTTCACCTCAGATGAAGGCCTGTCTGGCCTCAGGGTCAGATGAACTTGTTCCCACATGTCACGTTTATGTGGCGGGTCCATGGCTCAAGAGCCCCACCAATGTCCACAGGAACATGCTGCCTTTATGAAAAGCAGTTTCCGCTTGAGAGGTCATGAAGCCAAATCCCCCGGGACTCTTCATGGATCCTCCTCAGACATCAGATGCCCCCTATCTATCTGGGTAGGCCCAGGCCATCACTGTATTGTACACACTAACAGAAGTGTCACTTCTGGGAATCACAGCAGACAGGCCGGGGGGAGGGGAGGCTTTGAGACTGGTGTAAAAAAACAGCTGGTCCCCACTGGTTATGGCATATTCTCCTCTCCCACTGGTAAAGTACAAGCATTTCTTCAGCCTTGGTGTGTGGTTCATTAGCTCCTTCCTTTACCTCACCCAGGCATATTTTGAAGAGCAGGCTCACTGAGGTCATAGCTCCCCTGCGGTCTTGGTTTTACTTCTCACTTCTGTAAATCGGAAGGGCTGCTGTGAGTCAGGTGCCCCTGTGCAGAGCCCAAGGGCTGGTCTAAGGCCTGTCAGACATTAGAGGAATGGTTCCTGTGAGAGGCTTTCTGCACAAAGCCCCAGCCAGTGCATTGAGTAAGGACAGTGCACATAAATCCAGCAAAATACAATGAAAAGCGTTCTAAGCAACTGCCACTAACCAACAAACATATGGTTATTCAAAGGTCATGCAAAATTGTAGTTGTCTATTTTATTTCTTCCCATCTCCATCAACCTGATATTTAATGATTTTTGCTTAAGCAGGTAAAAGCTGCACTCGGAAGGTGAGCAGTTCCTCCCCTCAAATTTCTTCACCAATTTACTCTAAATTGAAAATCATGTACTGGACAATATTTTCCAATGCTACCTTAACAATGGGAATTGAGTGTTAGAGGCAGTGTCTGCTATAGATTTTATTGTGCTTTGCAGGAAACTGTCAAACTAGCCTAAAAGTAAAACTAAATCAGTATCTATAATGTTAATTTGTAAAGGACATGAAAAGATATAGAAACTGAAAAAAATGTGGATACAAAAAAAAATGTGTAAAGCCCTCTTCATAAATGTGCATGTAGCATTTCATACACATTTAAAGTTTGACCAGTGGATTTGGTATTTTTCCAACAACTACACAGTAAAATATTAAATATTATGTACCCAGTTCTGTAGTCCCTACTCAGGGAAAACTTCCAGTGAATGCAACGGGAGCTCTGCCTGGGTAAGGATTACAGGATCTGAGCTGACGGTCACATAACACACATACAAATGAATATTGCAGATATGTGAGTACAGCATGCTGGACTATAGCCATGCAATAATATACTGAATATTCAATAATCTACTCATGCAAAAGTGACAAAACAGTTGGGAATGTCTTTGATGAGACACCAATTCAATCAGTCACTCTGCTGTAGTTACAGCTTGTTGCCTAACCAAAAATTCTCTCTCAGTACCCTCTCTCCTCCCTAATGTCTCACAATCTGTCTTTTTGGCACCTTCTAGATGACAGGAAATATTGTGGTGAGTAAACAAGCCCCCTGCTTATCCGTTGTCTATTACAGGAAAAAAAAACCAAAAACTTCTGTCTTCAATAGCTAATAGATTTCCTCACCCACACACTCTATTGCAGTGGTTCTCAAAGTTTTGTACTGGTGACCCCTTTCACACAGGTTTCAGAGTAACAGCCGTGTTAGCCTGTATTCGCAAAAAGAAAAGGAGTACTTGTGGCACCTTAGAGACAAACCAATTTATTTGAGCATGAGCTTTCGTGAGCTACAGCTCACTTCATCGGATGCATACCGTGGAAACTGCAGCAGACTTTATATACACACAGAGAATATGAAACAATACCTTCTCCCACCCCACTGTCCTGCTGGTAATAGCTTATCTAAAGTGATCAACAGGTGGGCCATTTCCAGCACAAATCCAGGTTTTCTCACCCTCCACCCCCCCCCCACACAAATTCACTCTCCTGCTGGTAATAGCCCATCCAAAGTGACAACTCTCTACACAATGTGCATGATAATCAAGTTGGGCCATTTCCTGCACAAATCCAGGTTCTCTCACCCCCTCCAAAAAACACACACACAAACTCACTCTCCTGCTGGTAATAGCTCATCCAAAGTGACCACTCTCCCTACAATGTGCATGGTAATCAAGGTGGGCCATGTCTAGCACAAATCCAGGCTTTCTAACCCCCCCCCCCCCTTTTTTTTTCCCCAGGGACACACACACACACACACACACACACACAAACTCACTCTCCTGCTGGCAATAGCTCATCCAAACTGACCACTCGCCAAGTTTAAATCCAAGTTAAACCAGAATGTCTGGGGGGGGCGGGGGGGGGGTAGGAAAAAACAAGGGGAAATAGGCTACCTTGCATAATGACTTAGCCACTCCCAGTCTCTATTTAAGCCTAAATTAATAGTATCCAGTTTGCAAATGAATTCCAATTCAGCAGTTTCTCGCTGGAGTCTGGATTTGAAGTTTTTTTGTTTTAAGATAGCGACCTTCATGTCTGTGATTGCGTGACCAGAGAGATTGAAGTGTTCTCCGACTGGTTTATGAATGTTATAATTCTTGACATCTGATTTGTGTCCATTTATTCTTTTACGTAGAGACTGTCCAGTTTGACCAATGTAAATGGCAGAGGGGCAGTATGCATCCGATGAAGTGAGCTGTAGCTCACGAAAGCTCATGCTCAAATAAATTGGTTAGTCTCTAAGGTGCCACAAGTACTCCTTTCCCTTTCACACAGCAAGCCTTTGAGTGTGACCCCCCCTTATAAATGAAGAACACTTTTAAATATATTTAAACACAATTATAAACACTGGAGGCGAAGCGGGGTTTGGGTTGGAGGCTGACAGCTCGTGACCCCACAGGTAATAACCTCACGATCCCCTGAGGGGTCCCAACCCTCAGTTTGGGAACCCCTGCTCTATTGTGCATTGCTCCATGGTTACAACATAGAGAGATACTAAGGCCAAGATTTGCAGAAGCAGCCCCTGATTGCGGGTGCCCAAGTTAGGACACTTCAGGTCCAGTTCTCAGAAGTGCTGAGCACCCACAGTGCTAACTGAGAAAGGAGACTGGTGCGCTCTGAACAAATTTGTAATGCAAAATAGAAATATACCACCAAGATAAAGGATATCTTGTCCCCTTTGCAGACCAAATACAAGACAGCTTCCCTCAATCAAATACAAAGCACAAAAAAAACTTTAAAGACCATTTTCCTTCATTAACTTCCTTCCTAAACACCCTGAATCCAATAACAAATATCAGGCCCACTTCCCCTGTTTTATACTGTGCTGGGGCTGGGGGTAATTAATTAATTCCTCACAGCTGAGCCAACTCTGGATCTCCCTGCACTCAAGGCAGACAGCTGTGGTCTGTCCTCTAGCCAGAGAGAAAGAGGATTAAATCCTTCCCTGCTAACCAAAGGACAGGTCTATATAAGCCATTACAGAGCTAATGTAGCTTTTTATTCACCCCACTGAGTTTTTAAACTCATGTTACCAAGAGAAAGGTAAATATCCTAGCGTGATTTTGGCCCAGGCTCATCCACTCCCTGGTCAGATGTCTAGCTATTGATTGGTTTCAGAGTAACAGCCGTGTTAGTCTGTCTTTGCAAAAAGAAAAGGAGGACTTGTGGCACCTTAGAGACTAACCAATTTATTTGAGCATGAGCTTTCGTGAGCTGTAGCTCACAAAAGCTCATGCTCAAATAAATTGGTTAGTCTCTAAGGTGCTACAAGTACTCCTTTTCTTTTAGCTATTGATTGTGGTCCAGGCTAGCTGACTTTTGAAAGTCATTGTACAGTGCAGCATCACTGAGGTGGATTTACTGAGCTGTGTTGTGTAATAACCTACATTAAACAGACAAAGAATCAGAAAGAGGGACAGCAGCTTCTGTGATATCATGGACCTGAAAACCTCACCATTTCCTGAATTTAATGCAAGAATCCCAGCCATCTGGCTATTACCCTAAAGCAAGACCAGTCATATACACTGTAGGTCCAACTTCATCCCTGTGGGATAGTCAATGACTACAGGGGTGTTAGACAAGCTCTTTACATTTGTATGTTGCCATTTCACAAATGGGTTTTGAATACTGTTCTGAGGAACTGCCTCTGCTTTAATACTTAGATTACACAAAACCCACTTACCCAGCTACCTGTGCTTTGTTGCAAATGCTGGAATCCATCTATTTATTTATCCATCTATGTTTTTATATAGATGTGCATCACCATGGTGTCTGAAGCCTACCTCATGGGTTCAGGCGTTACGGTGCGGAGTATAGCAACACCCCATGTTTAGATACCTAGAAAATCACAGAACAACACTGCAATCCACACAGCCTGAGTTAGGTGCCTAAGCTCCCATGGGGAGAGAGAGGCACCTTAGAATGAGCTCTACAAAAGCCAGTACGCTAGGCAGGGAGCCACCTCAGCTAGCCAATGGGAGATGCTGACAAAAGGCAGGTGTGCTAACCCCTACCTCTCTCCCAGAGATAGGTGTCTATGACCAGGCTGCTATTTCTGCTAATGATCCATGAATAGGAACCAGCTGCCTGGAGTCAAGCAGCTTAGGTTCCTACCTTGTTTCTTGGGAGAATGAGTTGGGCACCTGCACACAAAACAGCCACGGGAGGAGGCAGTGTCTACCACCTAACTTTAGAGCACTTAGCTGTGGCTTGGGAGACCCAGGTTCAATTCCCCCCACCCTGCCTGAGGGAGAGAAAGGATTTGAAGAGGAGTCACCCAGCTCGCAGGAGAGTGCTCTAACCACTGAGCCATAGGAGAGGTCTGTTGTTGGGCTCCCTCGCTTTCTCCTGTTGAAGCTCTTACATGGTGGATAACTAGTTACAATCACTGGAGCAGGGGAACTGCATGCTCTAAACACCCATCTGCAGAGCCATTTTCTCTCCCAAGTACTAAGTATTTATTCAAAATGGAACAGGTTTCACAGGAGAGAGTCCCACATCAGCATATCCCATAACTCAGTAGTCCGAGCACTCGCGGGAGATCTCTGTTCAGATCCTTTCTTCCCCTCAAGCAAAGAGGGGGACTGAACCCAGGTTGCCCACATACCGGTAAAGTGAGCTAACCACTGGGCTGAATGTTATAAGGTAGGCACCAGCACCACCACTTTCCTCCAGCCAGATTTTCTGTGGGACCCAATCCAGTAGGTAAGGTCTGAGCGTGCCTATTGGATCAGGTCCCACAGGTAAGATAGGTGGAGGAGTACCTATCTTCCCTTGGTTCTTGGATTGCTCTGGGGCTTAGGTGGCCAGACACCAAGAGGGAGGCAGGTGCGCCCTTGCCCAGAGGAACTTAGGTGCCCAGGGAACTTTTACTGCAAAATCAGGCGCTGAACACATTTAGGCACCTACAGGGTTAGGTGAAGCTGAGTGGAGGTTTTGTGGATCTCAGTGGCACCTAAACCGGGACTTAGAGGTGCCTGTGTGGGTTGAGGTGCCTAAGTCCCTTTGTGGATCTGGACCTGAGTGCCTCCCCGTACTCCCGACACAACTTCTCTCACATGCTTCATTGGGGACTGTGAGCATCACTAACGGGCGGAGCAAGGGTAGGTGTTGCATCATACACCGCAGCATCTAATGCCACCTTCCCCAGCACACACTCAGACACTCAGGGATGCACTCATTTCTCTACATTTTCTGTAAGTAACCTCCCTGCCCCCCACCCCAAAGTGGTCTTCACAATTGATTGAAATAAGCAGAAATATTGCACAGGACACAAGGCAGGTATTTTTTTCTTTTCACTAAAGGGAATGACTGTCAGATGTCAGCCTTTCTAGCTCAAGCACATGGAGAAGGAGCTGCTGATGTCCACACTGCCTCAGCTGGCAAGAGCTGGTTAATAATTGCTATAAGAGTTGCCTGTGGCCAGGGTGTTGACCCTATGGGTGTAGGACATGTCTTCGTACACCGTATTTGCTTGCTTTTTCTTTCCTTCTTGGCAGTGTTTCTTGATCTGCAAAAAACAAAACAAAAACAAAACACTCAGGCAGCCATCCAGGTCTAGGGCTGGAGCAGAACCCCTGCCCAGGAGTTGTTTTCATCTCAGTGTGCAGGGAGTTACAAGCAGAGATAACAAAACGGTCCTTCTCTTAGCCCAAAGGAATTACATAGAGCAACAAGCAGAAAGGGCTGGGTTAATCCCCAAAATTCTTACAGGCTCTTCCACCAGCAGCTCTTTAGGGGGCTAAAAGTATCAATGGCTCCAACAGCTTTGGACAATTGTCTTGTAATTATTGCAAGAGGAGACATGGCTTCCTTAGGAGAGGCTTGCTGGCATCATTGCACTGCGGTGCCTGTTAAACTTGTTAGGAGGAGGCCCAAAGCAAGGCTTTCATTCAATCCTGTTCTACAGTTCGAAATGACTCTCCTAAATAAACATGCAGGGCATGGGAGGTGAGTGCGTGTGTCAGTCACAACCCATTTCCAAAGAGGCTTTTCTGCATAAGCCCTCTGAGGAAACTTTATTGTCAGGGAACATGGCTGTGCTACCCTCTGACACTGAGCTTCTTCATGACCCTGTGGTGTCCCTGATCTCCCACAGAACACCGCAAGAAGGGGACGTCCCTCTCGTCCATCCCAATAGGGGGCTTGTTGAGATTCCATTCTTCAGTGAGAAGGGCAACCGCAGAATGGTGGGATTTCAATGCAGTTACCACATCAAGGTCCATAGGCAAAGCTGGGGGGGGGGGGGGAGGGGGCTGGCTTGTGCTTTCCTCCTCCTCTCTAAGAAATTATTATTATAATGAGCCTGAAAATGAGCCTGGGGCTGTACAGTCATGATAGAAGCCACAGTCCCTCCTTCAGCAATTTGCAGTCTACATGTAGTCATGACACCAGGGGATGTCAGCACACAAAGGGATGGGAGCAGTGGGGATGGAAGGACAAAGGGACAATAGGAGACACACATGGTTAGAGAGGTTTATCATATGCATGTCTTATGGCTCCACAATGTTTTATATGCACAGCACTTTAACAGGCATGGTTGTGCTTGGGGATGACTCCTATCTGCAGGGTCAGAAGTGCAGAAAACATTGGGGCTGTGGCCGAAGACATACTTACATCGATGTGAGACAGAATGAGGTATCCCAGCGCAGAAACCGAGATCAAAACCATGAAGGAAAGGACATAGGGCACCCAGGAAGCCACACAGCACTCTGCCTGCTCCATTTCTGTGGGTGATTTATCAGAGGAGAGGCAGAATTATGACTTCATGTGAGGAACATGTTATATCGCTCTGCAGGGGGCTCTGCAGGCCAGCAAACTGGAAGTCCACCAGTGTCACCATCATTCCTCATTACCACCAGTGCATTCCCAGTGTCACACCACACATCACGGGAACCCTTAAGTCGACTCCAACAACAGGTTGGCTACCTGTTCTGTCTAACATCGCTCCCCCACCGATACACTGAACTGCTGTGACATTCCGCGAAGCTCAGCGAATCCAGGAAAACAGATGTCTTCCTATACACCAAGACTTGACAATGCCCTGCCCCCACTGTGTTAAGTCCTGCAAGCCTTTCTGGGAACATTCGTTTAGTCTCATGCAATCAGGCTACGATCAGGAGGAGGCTTGGAAAGCAGACTGGGCTAAACAAGACTTAAAAAATAAGTACCCTGTGCCGGATTCCACGCAGAAAGTTTCTGGGTTTGGTGTTCCATGGTCAACTCTGACCCAAATCCGAACCAACCATGGTAGATGCGGGCATCGAATGCAAAAATGGAAAATCAAGAACTCCACGTGGTGCGAGTGTTGTTCCCCACAACAGACCATCGAACATATCACTACCTATTGCCCAATTCATAAATATGAAGGGGGCATTTCTGCAATAAATTCTGCTACTCCTGATGTAGCCATTTGGCTCCATCAGCTTCAGGTGAAATTATAGTTGCTGCTCTACACCAGCCATACGAAAGAAGAAGACGACCAGTGGAGATGGCAGTATGGCTTTCATCCTGGAACACAAAGGATTTAGGTGCCAATCCCATTAGGATGGTTGCTACCATTGCGTGCAGTGCTGGAACACTTGGAGTAAGAAGAAGCTAAGCATCAAGGTTTACTGTTCTGGTATCATGGGGTATAGAATTGTGCCAGGAATGACATGTAACCACTACCCTACCACTTCTCCAAAGAATTATTGTGCAACCAGCGTACCACTGTCCAATGCCACAATTATTGAAAACAAACCACCGTATAATAGCCATGACTTCATGTTTAATAACGGCTACAGCCACGTGTTCTTATGAAGCTTCAAGTGCATAGATTCGAAAAATGTCATCTTCACATGGCAGCCCAGTTATATATCTGACTCTAGTAAAGACATAGGGGACTAGATGAAATAGGGTACAACTGGCCCTTGCTTTATCTTCTCTTTAACCAAGGACATTACAGACTCTATTGTGGCAGGGTACAGTACTCCCCATTTATTGAGTCCTCTCTGTTTAAAGTTACACCCTGCTTTGTAACTCTGCGACAACAATTGGGATCCCTGCCATGCTCCTGGCTCCAGTAAATCCCATGGGATAAGGCTGTGATAGCAGTGTGGTTACACAATCGTTGGGAAAGAAACTAGTTGGAATTGCCCCTTTCTATTTAGCAACTCTGTTTTCTGTGGGCTAAACTGTGCAACCCCTACTCCTGGTGGTCTCTTACACAAGGAGACCCAATGAAGTCATAAGTACCTGCCAGCATGAGTGAGAGCTGCCCAATCTAGCCTCATGTATTTTTGAGTCATCTCTACATATTCTATAGACAAAACCAATTTTCTGTATTATGCTGCAGAGTCAATAGAGCATGGAGAGAGTGACCTCGATTCTATTCTGCCTCAACATTTCAACAAAACTATTGCCAAAAGGTTTGACTTTAGAATCTTTATTACTGGGGCTGATGATGCAAGAGGTAGGTGGGGAAAAAACTAACCAAAATGGAGCTTTATCTTTGGATCCCATCCTGAATTTGCAGCATGATTACCTGCTGACTTGTAAATTGACCAAATCTGAGAAGAAGTCACCTCTGACTTTAAAGAGAAAGAGAGGAAAGTGCAGAAGGATAGGGCAGCTATTTCAAGGCAATATGCAACAACTACTTTGTACTGTCTGGTACTTCAAAAATGGTTGTGGGAATTATCATCTTTTGTGGAACAGAGCAGGTACTTATGACTTCCCACCTAATTCTTCACCTCAACTGGGACACCCAGGATTTCCATTATCCTTAATGACATAGGTACCCAGATCACAGGTGAGAGTTGCCTACTCCCAAGTAACCTGGGAAGGAAATGGGGGTTACATTTAAAATTTTATGGCTGAACAGCAAATTTGGGAGGGAATAACTGTGGTGTCTGTAGCTATAAAACTACGATGCCTTTGTTTTCTGTGTATTGCCTGTTTCCATGTCAAAGAAATCTGTTCAATGCAGAAAGAGCAACCATTTCACTTTCAGACTTGCTGCAGCCTGTTACAGATGAGACACACACTGGACTCTTGCATGGGGACTTTACTTTTGTTCTTTCTTGTTGTCTTCAGATCAAAAATTTATGGTTGGTATATGGGAAAAAACATAACTGTAAGAAGACCCCGTCTTTCCATAAACCCATCCTTGGCTCTACTCATATACTGAAACACATAACCATTCAGTTAATGTTCTACACTTCCTCAGCCCTTTCAACTGAAAATAAATACCCACTTGTCTTACACTTTAAAAAAAATAGAAAAACGTGCAATACCTTTCACCACCAATATGGTGCCATGGCTCAACACATTACGGGGCTCGAAATTTTCTAGCGTGCTCCCACTACAGACATATACAGCAGTGTCATTTTTCTGCAACTGGTGCAGCGTTATCCTCATTTCTGTCCCGAGTAAGGAGATCTCGATGCGGTCTTTGTAGTGAAAGTCTACGGTACTGGTATGACTATTATTTTTGATGTATAGCACTTCCATGGCATTTACAACTTCTCTTTTCAAATACATCCCTACTAGTATCCCCTTGTTAGTAACGGAGCAGGTTATGTTGACCGACTCTCCTTCATTAACTATGAGAATAGCTGGCTCCTGTGTCACACCTGCATGCAGAGAGGAGGAAAGGAAAATATGTTATTACCATGCGGCTGACTGGGAACTGTTGGAGGCTAGAGGGAGGATGGCCTTGCACTAGCAAGCTCTTCCAATTACAAAACACCCCTCTGCTCCAGAGCCAGGTGTCTTTGCCATACTCTTTGTAACAGAGTGTGCTGGCCCTTCAAGGACAGACACCCATCCACCACTGTTCACACTTCCCAGAGCTATATCAAGGGAATTCTGGGACTTGTAGTTCAGGCACTATTAGAGTCGCAGGCCTGAGGGCAAGGCTTGATGGGAGATGAAGCAGGATATAAAAGGCCAAACCACTTTCTTAGTTTAAAAAGAGACCTGGCAGGGACAGGGAGTCTGCCCACTTGGAGACCTGAAGGGGAACAGCAGTGATTTTTAGGCCTCTCCAAGCAGTAGCCTGAGGAGGGGCAATAGCTGTCTGGAACCCGTACAGCCTTGGGTGGGACTTATGAACCCCAAACACAAGAGGAAGAGGGTTATCTGCACACCCAATTGATTGGGCTATGGGGCTTCCGAGGGAGGAAACTGTAGTCTGGGAAGGGTGAAGGATTATCTACAGGCCCTAGAGGAGAGCTGTGATATCCTGAGGAGGTGTGGGTGGATGGGGTCTCCTGTTGGGATATATTTTGTATGGTGATAAACCAAGGCCCAGGAGGGGAAGCTTTGAGTTAGAACTTGAGTCATGTTGTAGCAATTACAACAGATCCCTCCCCTCAGAGAGGAAACTGAGGCAGGGCTGCACCTGGAGGATAGAAGGATAAGGTGCACCTTACACCCTATCTAAAAGTGAGAGGTGAACAAATAAGTCTCTTTTAATAGCCATTTTCCTTCCGCTGACCATCTTGGAAGCTTATCTCCATTGCCTTAGCTGCGTTCCTGAAGCCAGCTCAGACCTCTCACTCTGGGGTGAACCTGGTCATTTGGAATCAGAATCCAAATGTGTGAATGTGTATCCAGACATTGGAGCCTGCCTACCCCTACAAATCTGCTCACTCTCCTCACAAGACTTCCCCCCTCTCCATCAGCAGGCCCAGGCTTCCATCCTTATTTTGGTTGTCTTCCAGGGGGAGACCCAGTGGCCTTCTGTCTCCCATCCAGTATCTTTGGAGGTTGCTCACTGGCCTGCTTCCCCTCCTGTTTTGTTGGGAGCTGCCACTGGGCAAGGTAAGGAGCCATGGATCTGACTTTACATAGGTCCAGAGGATCCACTATTCCATGCAATGGACTGAAGTAGCAGCTGCAATGGAGGAGCTGTGATAGCTGCCCAGGGCCTTGGTCCTTTGTTGGGGTGTAGATTTCACCTCCAGGTATGCCAACTAAATGCTTGGGTTTTATGTGCTCCCAGTGACTTTCACACCATAATAATAAAAGATACAAAAGTAATCCACAGGAACTGTGTACTGCAGGCTTCAGATCAGTAATGCAGATTATAAACAAACACTTGGGAACACAGAATGTGTGCTCCACTGCATTTGAACAGTACTGAGTACCCTGATGGCATTCAGCAAACAATAATCATCATATTACAGATTCCGAGATTTTGAAGGCCAGAAGGGAAAATTACAATATTCTAGTTCTGACATTCTGAATAACACAGACTATAGATTTGCACCCATTGATATACGCTTCAAGGCCATATCTTGTGACTGAGCGAGAGCATTTAAAAAAAATTTTTTTTAAGATGCCCAGTCTGGCAATACACTGTAGCATAACACTTTCCCCACCCACCCAAAAAACCCAACTAAACAAACCAAAAAAACCCATGTGATTCCCCTGTTGTCCAGTTTTCTCCCAGGCTATGTTGTATAGAAGTGAGTTCAGGTCTCAAAGTAGCTACATTTCATGGGTTTCTTTCAGATCTGGTGCAACCATGTACAAATAGGATCTAGTGACTGATGGCACCAGGCAAATATCTACCGATAGCAGGAACTTCTGAGACTTAATGATCCCAAACTACAATACCACACTACTGAATAAGGAATTTTCTCTCATTAATTTGTAAATGAAATATGATCAGGTTGGGGCTGATGTTCACAACTTAAATCCTCTGAAGTTGCCCAATCTTCTTATTTCAAGTATCTTTGCAGTGTATTGTCTAATAGCATATATGTGGTTATGATAGTCATGTAAATTCCTGCATGTCACAAACCATGGAATATATTTCAAACCATAGCATCATAGAACTGGAAGGGACCTTGAGAGGTCATCTAGTCCAGTCCCCTGCACCCAAGGCAGGACTAAGTATTATCTAGACCATCCTTAACAGGTGTTCGTCCAACCTGTTCTTAAAAATTCCCAATGATGGAAATTCCACAATCTCCCTAGTGCTTAACCATAGATTCATAGATATTTAGGTCAGAAGGGATCATTATGATCATCTAGTCTGACCTCCTGCACAACGCAGGCCACAGAATTTCACCCACCACTCCTGCAAAAAACCTCACACCTATATCTGTGCTATTGAAGTCCTCAAATCGTAGTTTAAAGACTTCAAGGAGCAGAGAATCCTCCAGCAAGTGACCCGTGCCCCATGCTACAGAGGAAGGCGAAAAACCTCCAGGGCCTCTTCCAATCTGCCCTGGAGGAAATTCCTTCCCGACCCCAAATATGGCGATCAGCTAAACCCTGAACATATGGGCAAGATTCATCAGCCAGATACTACAGAAAATTCTTTCCTGGATAACTCGGATCCCACCCCATCTAATATCCCATCACAGGCCATTGGGCCTATTTACCATGAATATTTAATTACCAAAACCATGTTATCCCATCATACCATCTCCTCCATAAATTTATCGAGTTTAATCTTAAAGCCAGATAGATCTTTTGCCCCCACTGCTTCCCTTGGAAGGCTATTCCAAAACTTCACTCCTCTGATGGTTAGAAACCTTCGTCTAATTTCTAGTCTAAATTTCCTGGTGGCCAGTTTATATCCGTTTGTTCTTGTGTCCACATTGGTACTGAGCTTATATAATTCCTCTCCCTCTCCTGTATTTATCCCTCTGATATATTTATAGAGAGCAATCATATCTCCCCTCAACCTTCTTTTAGTTAGGCTAAACAAGCCAAGCTCCTTGAGTCTCCTTTCATAAGACAAGTTTTCAATTCCTTGGATCATCCTAGTAGCCCTTCTCTGTACCTGTTCCAGTTTGAATTCATCCTTCTTAAACATGGGAGACCAGAACTGCACACAGTATTCCAGGTGAGGTCTCACCGGTGCCTTGTATAAGGGTACTAACACCTCCTTATCTCTACTGGAAATACCTCTCCTGATGCATCCCAAGACCGCATTAGCTTTTTTCATGGCCATATCACATTGGCAGCTCATAGTCATCCTATGATCAACCAATACTCCAAGGTCCTTTTCCTCCTCCGTTACTTCTAATTGATGCGTCCCTAGCTTATAACTAAAATTCTTGTTATTAATCCCTAAATGCATGACCTTACACTTCTCACTATTAAATTTCATCCTATTACTATTACTCCAGTTTACAAGATCCTCCAGATCCTCCAGTAGGATATCCCTGTCCTTCTCTAAATTGGCAATGCCTCCCAGCTTTGTATCATCCGCAAACTTTATTAGCACACTCCCACTTTTTGTGCCAAGGTCAGTAATAAAAAGATTAAATAAGATTGGTCCCAAAACCGATCCTTGAGGAACTCCACTGGTAACCTCCCTCCAGCCTGACAGTTCACCTTTCAGTAGGACCCGTTGTAGTCTCCCCTTTAACCAATTCCTTATCCACCTTTCAATTTTCCTATTGATCCCCATCTTATCCAATTTAACTAATAATTCCCCATGTGGCACAGTATCAAATGCCTTACTAAAATCTAGGTAAATTAGATCCACTGCATTTCCTTTGTCTAAAAAATCTGTTACTTTCTCAGAGAAGGAGATCAGGTTGGTTTGGCACGATCTACCTTTTGTAAAACCATGTTGTATTTTGTCCCATTTGCCATTGACTTCAATGTCCTTAACTACCTTCTCCTTCAAAATTTTTTCCAAGACCTTACATACTACAGATGTCAAACTAACAGGCCTATAATTACCCGGATCACTTTTTTTCCCTTTCTTAAAAATAGGAACTATGTTAGCAATTCTCCAATCATACGGAACAACCCCTGAGTTTACAGATTCATTAAATATTCTTGCTAATGGGCTTGCAATTTCATGTGCCAATTCCTTTAATATTCTTGGATGAAGATTATCTGGGCCCCCCGATTTAGTCCCATTAAGCTGTTTGAGTTTCGCTTCTACCTCAAATATGGTAATGTCTACCTCCATATCCTCATTCCCATTTGTCATGCTACCATTATCCCTAAGATCCTCTTTAGTCTTATTAAAGACTGAGGCAAAGTATTTGTTTAGATATTGGGCCATGCCTAGATTATCCTTGACCTCCACTCCATCCTCAGTGTTTAGCGGTCCCACTTCTTCTTTCTTTGTTTTCTTCTTATTTATATGACTATAGAACCTTTTACTATTGGTTTTAATTCCCTTTGCAAGGTCCAACTCTACTTGACTTTTAGCCTGTCTCACTTTATCCCTACATGTTCTGACCTCAATAAGGTAGCTTTCCTTGCTGATCCTCCCTTCTTCCACTCCCTGTAAGCTTTCTGCTTTTTCTTAATCACCTCTCTGAGATGCTTGCTCATCCAGCTTCATCTACAACTCCTGCCTATGAATTTTTTCCCCTTTCTTGGGATGCAGGCTTCCGATAGCTTCTGCAGCTTTGATTTAAAATAATCCCAGGCCTCCTCTACCTTTAGATCTATAAATTCTTCAGTCCAATCCACTTCCCTAACTAATTTCCTTAATTTTTGAAAGTCAGCCCTTTTGAAATAAAAAACCCTAGTTGCAGATTTATTTTTGTTAATCCACTCTGACAGGAATTTTTCCTAATGTCCAACCTAAACCACCCTTGCTGCAATTTAAGCGCATTGCTACTTGTCCTATCCTCAGAGGTTTAGAAGAACAATTTTTCTTCTTCCTCCTTGTAACAACCTTTTATGTACTTGAAAACTGTTATCATGTCCCCTCTCAGTCTTCTCCTCTCCAGACTAAACAAACCCAGTTTTTTCAATCTTCCCTCATAGGTAATGTTTTCTAGATCTTTAATCATTTTTGTTGCTCTTCTCTGGACTTTCTCCAATTTGTTCACATCTTTCCTGAAATGTGGCGCCCAGAACTGGACACAATACTCCAGTTGAGGCCTAATCAGCACAGAGTAGAGCAGAAGAATTACTTCTTGTGCCTTGCTTACAATACTCCTGCTAATACATCCCAGAATGATGTTTGCTTTTTTTGCAACAGCGTTACACTGTTGACTCATATTTAGCTTGTGATCCACTATGACCCCCAGATCCCTTTCTGCAGTACTCCTTCCTAGGTGGTCATTTCCCATTTTGTATGTGTGCAATTGATTGTTCCTTCCTAAGTGGAGTACTTTGCATTTGTCTTTATTGAATTTCATCCTATTTACTTCAGACCATTTCTCCAGTTTGTCCAGATCATTTTGAATTTTAATCCTATCCTCCAAAGCACTTGCAACCCTTCCCAGCTTGGTATCGTCCACAAACTTTGCAAGTGTACTCTCTATGCCATTATCTAAATCACTGATGAAGATATTGAACAGAACCGGACCCAGAACCGATCCCTGCGGGAACCCACTCATTATGCCCTTCCAGCATGACTGTGAACCACTGATTACTACTCTCTGGGAATTGTTTTCCAACCAGTTTTGCACCCACCTTATAGTAGCTCCATCTAGGTTGTATTTCCCTAGTTTGTTTATGAGGCGGTCATGCGAGGCAGTAACAAAAACCTTACTAAAGTCAAGATATACCACATCTACAGCTTTCCCCCATCCACAAGGCTTGTTACTCTGTCAAAGAAAGCTAGCAGGTTGGTTTGACATGATTTGTTCTTGACAAATCCATGCTGACTGTTATTTATCACCTCACTGTCTTCTAGGTGTTTGCAAATTGATTGCTTCATTATTTGCTCCATTATCTTTCTGGGTACAGAAGTTAATCTGACTGCTCTGTAATTCTTCAGGTTGTCCTTATTTCCCTTTTTATAGATGGGCACTATATTTGCCCTTTTCCAGTCTGCTGGAATGTCTCCCGTCTTCCATGACTTTTCAAAGATAATTGCTAATGGCTCAGATATCTCCTCAGTCAGCTTCTTGAGTATTCTAGGATGCATTTCATCATTAAGCAAAGTGGCCCAAATTCTAATCAGAACAACAGCAGTAGAAATCTATATTCTGCACTTGTAGATGACACTCTTCAACCCATACCAATGGTTTCATTATTTCTATAATACAAAAATGTTTCAAAGGGCGAAAGTAGAGGGGGAACTACAAAGATAGAAGCAAAATAAGTGGCACTGAAAAATGTTTGTGCTACAAAGCTCTTATACTATAGCCACTTGATTGGACTGATTTGCAGAATTCATTGTTTGGCTCCAATGTATGAGAGTGACTGAGTTACCCCAAACTCACAGTAAGAAATACTTCTTTTCGCAGCCCCCCCCACACTATTACATATTCCCTCTTTATGCACAGACAGAGGTACTGTGGGGGAAGAAAAGCAACTGAACTTAAAGTAATAAATCATCTGTACAAAAATTATTTTCAGTGGTATGAGTCCTACTGTAACAAATGGTCTGAAGAGTTAAAAAGGTTCCAAGAAATCTCTGTTAAACATTGTTGGGGTTTTATTATTGTGGTTGCTGGCTGAAATATATCACCTGAAGCGTATTTTCTTTTGACTAAAAAATACTATGAAACACAAAACAATCCTACCATAGTTGAAATGCCTGGGAAATACCAAATTCAATCTTAGAAAATTTCAGAAAACTTCTGAAACTTTTGTTTCCTTTTAAACCAACCCACCTCTCCCCAGTCAGCGGTTGATAACAACTATTAACACCCAGAGAGTACATTTGCAGGAAATAACAATGTTATAAATCCTTCTCCAAGCAAGTTTGGTAAAGAACTTCATGACCTTGCTTTCCATAACATAAAGGCCTTGCAAAATTGTATGTGCAAATAGCGTAATTGCTGGCAACTAGGTGTGTGTGCAAACAAATAACAAGGTAGGCTAGGGTAGATGGAGTCAAGTGTTTCTCAGCACCTATATATACACCGCGTGGTGGAGACCTGGTGGAATTTGGTGGAAAATAAGTTTTCTGTAAGAGTGATGAAAAAGGTGAGACTCTATCTACGCTCGTAGCTAAATCATCTTCAATACTAGTTGAAAGGGGACCCATTGTTACTCACCAGCCATTGTGAATAGCAGGTCACTTGCCCAGATTAGAAGGACCCCAAGCCAAATTTGGATTTAACAGACTGAGCCATTGGAGCTACAATATTCCAAAACAAAGTTAAAGCTTGAATCTTCACTACATACCTTTCTGGGCTGGGGTACTCTGGAAAAGCAGGAAGAGCAGAAACACAGCTGGAAGAACCGGTGTCCAGGGCATTTTCACAAACCTTTGGAGCTAGATTTCTGTGCTACTGCATAAAATCCCACCCAACGTCAAGTGAAGAAAGGCAGAGCTTGATGAGCTGTTTCTCCTGTGACGCTGAACACGCATCTGCTAGCTGTCAACCACATCAGTAACAGAGAAGTACAAACACCACTGCATGAGCTAGTTTTGAAGAAGTGCTGATGCGGGGGAAAAAAACCCAAACCATCGGTGTTTGTGGGGCTCAGTTCATCTATGCACTGAGCTCTCTTGACTCCCACTGAAGTTAGCTAGAGCACAGGTCCCCCTGTACCGCACAGGAGTGCTCAGAGCCTTGCAGGTTTGTGCCATTGGAAGGCCACGTTCCACCTTGCTGTAATAGGTGAGGCACCACTGACTTCAGTGGGTCTTGCACCCACTTGTACCAGGGCTGAATCCAGTTCAGTTTATTCCCACATCATCTAATGTACAAGGTCAGATGGTTCACTCCACTTTCATTCCCACTTCTGCATCCTTTTCAATGTCTATTGCTGTTGTGACAAAGTCAGGCCAGACGGCTGCAGGAGGATCTGGGAAAACAGGTATGTTAGCCCTAGAATGCTAAAGGCCCTTTTTCCTACAAGCTGGGAAGGGGCTACTTCAGGTCAATTAGGGACACCTGAGTCCAATTAAGGGCTGCCTAAAACCTGTTAAAATCTCTCTCCTGGTGAGAGGGTGGGGGGAGAGACAAACTGTTGCAAGCTGGAGGCAGCAGGGAGATAGGCTTCTCCAGTGTGAGAGACTGCTCTCCTCCCCATAGGGGAGACACCCAAAACCCAGTGCCTGTTTAGGGGAAGGACTAACACCCTGGGGCCAGCGACAGGACAACACCTGCCCCAGTGAGGGGGCCAGAGAAAGGTATTCCCTTTTTGTTTTGGTGCTTTATAGGCTTGTTCCCCTTTGTTTGGCAGAGGAGGACTCCTCAGGCCTGCCCTGAGGCCTACTGGGAAGGCTCTGAGAAACAAATCCTGAAGAGGGAAGACAGACATGCTGCAGAGTGGGGGCTGATGTACTCCAGGCCCTGTCCCTGCCAGAGAAGGGAGTGCTAAACCCGGCGAGGCAGAAAGGGTGCTTGCCGCACGTGGTGTCAGAAGGGGGATCGCATTGGTGCTGAGAATCATCCTAGGGCAAGGTAAATCACCTCCCTGCCCCTGCAAATGGATGATCTACTGAGGGCACTGGTGCAGGCCATGGCAGCATAACAAGAGGCTACCAGGACCCAGATGAGTGCCCAACAGGAGTTGGTACGACTACAACAGGAGACGAATCAGCTGCTGATAAGCCAGCCCAGGATTAAGCCACCCTGTAGGAGTTCGTAAGCCAGCTAAAGGCCCTGACCACTCTGACACATGGCCTTAATGAGATGAAACCCCGAAGGGCCAGAAGTTACCTGCAAAAGATGACGGTGGAAGATGATGTGAAGGCGTATCTTCTCACCTTTGAGAGAACGGCCCTACATGAGGCCTGGCCCTGAGACCAGTGGGCCAGCATCCTTGCCCCTTTCCTATGTGGGGAAGCCCAGAAGGCCTACGATGATGCTGAAGAGCAGCCGGAGTCTGCAAAGGGATTTGGAGGACTGAGGAGAGAGGGTCTTGGGGTAAGACCTGATAGCCCAAAGAATAGGGGATATCCCGAGCAGGATATAGGTGTTATGCTTGTAGAGAACTAGAGCATATAGCTGCCCAATGTCCTAATACTGAGGAGCCCATGCAGTGCAATCTGGGTGATCATGCAGGCCCATGTGGCTTAATCAACCTTGTGGGGGTTGTGATGACCCCACATAGATACATGCGGCCAGTTAAGATGAATGGCATGGAGACCATTGCATTGATGATGGCTGGGATGATTTAGTTGGGAATTGTCCTGCTTTGAGCAGGGGGTTGGACTAGATGACCTCCTGAGGTCCCTTCCAACCCTCATATTCTATGATGGTTGTTTGATTACTCAGCGTGTATGTACTGAATGTCTCAGTTTCTGTATCTACTGTTTTGCTTAAATTCAGCTGCATTGGTGCAGGCTGGATCATTGTTTCCTATCAGGAGCCATCTTGTTTTCACATGTCAGACTTCTTGGTTAGGTGCATTTTCTTCTGCTTTTTCATCTGTAAAAATCAGGGGGAAACTCTTGTGAGAACACCATCGACTCAATTCCCACCTTACAAAAGAAATGCCTGAAGCCAGGTTAGTGGCAGCTGGGTAATGGCGAGCTTGCTTCTGCTCTTTCTCACACCAGTGTAAATAAGAATCCATGACCGTCAGAGACATTGCACTAGTGTACAATGGGTTTCAATTAGATCAGAACCCGGCCCAGTGTGTATCTGTTTGGATACAGAACAAGCAAAGCACAGACTGTGGTGGTGCCAGCTTCCCCTGAATGGCCCTGCCAAGGTACCTCAGCTCTGACCTAGTGGAACTGCCTCGAGGGCCGAGGGGATCCTGTCACTGTTGTTCCATAGAGGGTAGTGTTCTGAAGGGCTACAAAAGCTTTGTCAATACCATATAACTGCACTGGCAAAGCCCCCGATGGAAACACAGCATGTTCCGACAAGAGGCATTCTCTGCCGCTATAGTGCATAGAGTTCTACATTCCAGGGCCAGAAGGGACCATTGTGACCTCCTGTGTGACACAGGCCATTAAACTTGACCAAAATAATTCCTTTTGAACTACAGCATATCTTTAAAAAAAATCCAATAGTGATTTGAAAACAGCTATTGATGGAGAATCCACCATGGCCCTTGTTCCAGTGGTTGGTTACTGTCCCTGTTAAAAACTTACATCTGAATAGTTCAACCATCTCTCCTAACAACACAAACCATCCAGGCAAAAGTGCCCCTTCACCTCAATAAACTGCAGCTACATAGCCATTTTTCCAGAATAGGTATGATTAATTTTTTTCACACCCCAACCAACATAGCTATGCTGGCCAGACTTTACAGGGCAGACCTGGCCTCTGTCTGTAGCCTGTTGGTTCACACTGCCAGTGATGAGGTGCAATGGGAGAGCTGGGTGGGTTGCCAGAACGGGAAGCGAACAGGACATTGCAGATGAGTATAGAGGGGCAGAGGCTGAGTTTCGGTAGGTTTAACAGGCGTGGGTAGAGTTGTGTGGTGGTTTTAAGGAGTGGTTGGGGGAAGGTGGAAGCACTGAATAGGAGGTTTGGGGTCCATCAGCTGAGCATGGTAGGACACATTCTATGGATATGACTGAAAAGCACAGGGTACTTTAGTGCAGGAAAAAGATTCCCTGCTTCTCCTTCAGGCAATCAAGGGTCACTCTACTCTCCTGCTGTCTCCATTACAATTTCTCATCCTCTTTAGGGGGTGCAAGGTAAGGTCTGTTGGGTGTTACGGGTTTGCATTTGTTCATTTGTATGGAATCAGTCTCCACCAAGGATCATGCAAACTTCCCATTACGTTCTTGGGTGTAGCATTATGTGTTAGGTTTCAGTCATGAAGAAGTATGGGCTGGAATGGACTCTACCTGGTTTGTAGCATGGAGGGGTTCAAGTGCCCACAAATACTGGCTAAATCAAGCCAGTAAGCTCAAGAGGAGAGTAAGGATATGTCTACACTGCAAAAAGAGTTGTGTTCCTAACTCAGATTAAAATAGCAGTGAAGATGTAGCAACTCTACTTTTAATTTGGGATAGCAGCTAGAGTGCAGGCCGAAAGGGATATGTCTATACCGCAGCAGGGCGCAAGCCTCCCAACCTGGGTAGGCAGAGTTGTACTCGTAATAGCAGTGTGGACATTGTGGCTCGGGCTCTCCAGCCCACCTGACCCACGGGTGTGAGCTCGGGTGGCTAGCCCAATTCTTGCTGGAGGTACAATTGCCATGGAGCTATTTTCAGCATGATAGCTTGAGCCCACCTAGTGTGAGTCTGTCTATCCAGGCTGGGAGGCTCACATCCAGCTGCCATGTAGACATACCCCAGGGAGACTGGGGTTGAATTTGAGCTGCTAATCCAAGTTACCATATTTTCACTGGTATTTTAACCTGAACAAAGAGCTTTTCTTTCGCAGTGTAGACATATCCTTAAGCAGCAGCATTCCTCCCTCTTCTAAACTCATGGGATTGGTTTGCACTAGGCATTTTAATCTCAAATAATTTTGTTACCAATTAACCTGTGGTAGCTAACACATTTACAAAGGCTGGCATGGACACTCCCCACATGTTTGTTCCAGGCTATCACCATTAAGCGTGGATTACCTGAGTTTGTGGCACTAGCTCCTAGGAAGTGACTTTTTGGAATTCAGCAGGTGCAGATCGGACAGGCTTCGACCTTAATGTGTGTTGTCAGACTGTACCTGCTGGCGGTACTTGTAGTACAGAACAGCTGCAAAAGAGCAGAGAACCAGAAAGAGGAGCACTAGAATGGTGGCAACATGCTCTTTCATGGTCTTCGGAATTTCCGGATCTGGAAAAAAAACCAGGTGTGTTAATAAGGACTCAAAAACATTACGGTGACAACCAAAACTGTAGCGTGTTTAAAACAGTAATTCATAGTGGGATGATCTGTGTGTCATAAGGTACATTTGGCAGATGTTGAGGGTAACTTTTGTGATCCTGTTTTCAGCTTACTTGGAGTAAAATTTTCAAAGGTGCCTAAGTGGTTTAGGAGCCGCAGTTGACTTTCCATAAAACTTAGGCAGCTACAGGCTAGATCCACAAAGAGACTTAGGCACCTTGTTACCCAGTGCAATCCACAGCCCTGAGTTAGGCACCCAACTCTGTATGCACTGCTTGAGGAGATTTAGGAGCCTAAGAAAGGGATCTGCAAAAGCCAGCACACAGAGCAAGGAGCTGCCTAAACTAGCCAGTGGGAAATACTTTGGCACCAATCTCCATGTGCGATTCACAGCCATGAACCCTCTCCTGGTGTCAGGTGCCTAAGCCCTTTCTTGTACAAAATGCACTGCCCACACTGCTTTGTATTGTAAAAAAATCTAGACTAATCTAGCATGTGAAGCAGATGCATGTGACATATTATTCAAAAATCTCTGCTTTACCTGCAGACAGCTATTCCTGGAACAGTATGTTGGTGGTGCTCAATAATAATGGCATTAGAACTAATACTCTGAGAACTTCCAGTCACCCCTTTCCAGCTGGGGAGCAAGAATTCTGCACAAGACAACTGCTAACGTTTCATCATCAGGGGATGATTGATTTGTGGCTGAAACTCAAAGTATTTCTGCTATATCTTATACCTGCGGGTTGAAGTAAAATGAAGGTAATCAGCAACTGCTTTGTGGGCACGAAGGCACTTGGTTTTGTTTCTCTTGGTGTGCACATCATACAGCACAGTACAGCAATACTCTGAGGCAGCTAAGCTGGGTTTCTCATGGAGAGTGCTGCTAAGGCTGGTTAAGCCACCTTCTGCTTCCTCAGATACCAGGCTTGCACTGCCCGTCAGGTTAGTCCCATGGCCATTGAACCAATGGATCTCCCTTTGTCGATGCCCTATAGGTGACAGGCAGGTGAGCTTTGTTCCGTTCCTAGTGAGATTAGGCTCAGTTTCTGGAGCTGAAAGAAACACAGTGTTGATTATGGCTAGTGCAATATCCATTGCTTTTTTTCCCACAATAGGTGACTAGCGGGTCCGAATTAACAGCTAACCTATGGGTCAAATTCAGCCTTGGCATGTGTGGGTAACTCCACTGAAGTTCAGTTGAGGATGAATTGGCCCTAGAACTGTGTAACGACAGTTCTGGCTGGATTTCTGTGGGGATGGAGCTAAAGGATCTGGTGCTAGGGTGGGTCACAACTGCACCTTATACCATACGTGTGAGTACAGCTGGGGAAAAAAGGGAAAGTGACAATAAAAGAAAAGTGGATTGAGGTGTCACTAAAGATTCTGGAGACGGCAGGGAGTTTATAAACAAAAATGGTTTCTGCCAGGGTGGTCTGGGTGTCCGTTTACACCTGATTGATTTCTCTAAATGTTTTATATTGCAGGTGAACCTCTAATGCGGAGGGCTTGACAGCCGTGACTTCAGTCACACACAGTGCAGCCATGTGCTCTACAGGCTTCCCTCACCCAGCAATTCAACTGCCCTCAGTTCTTTTCTCAGCCCCCTGTGTCTGGTCCAGTGCTGACCTGTGTGACTCCTGCTATTCTAGCCATGGCTGTCGCAACCCCAGCTTTCCTACAGCACAGACAATTGCTGCCACTTGGGAAATTTTAGATCCTGGCCCACCTCATTCTGCTCCCTTATTCCATGGGCCCCATCCTCAGGAGCGAGGGGCTTGCTGATCAATACGGTAGGTGCCCTTTGAAGGCAATTGCAGGAAACCTCAGTCAACCCTAGCTCCATGCTAGTCTTGGTTAACAAACTCTTACTTTATTGACTGCAGGTAAACCCAGGAATTAACTCATTTAGTGTGGATCTAAAGGTGCCCTCTTTCCCCTCTCGCTTATCAGAAAGTCTCATAACAGATCCCAGGTCAGACTTCCTCCACAGCTCTACCAATGCATCACAACCCTCTCTGGCAGCATATATCTATTCCTGATGGCCACGGGACTAACCTGACTGGCAGTGCAAGCCTGGTATCTGAGGAAGCAGAAGGTGTCTTAACCAGCCTTACCAGCACTTTCCATGAGAAACCCAACTTAGCTGCCTCAGAGTATTGCTGTACTTTGCTGTATGATGTGCATACCAAGAGAAACAAAACCAGACTCACAATCTGGTCCCCAGTTTCCTAAGGGCTCAAGGGAGAGGGAAGAGAGGGTGGATAATCTATGCCAGGCCTCTACCTGGCAAAGGATACTTCTGCTTGCACACAGGAGGCAGCTGCATTGGGTGATATGTTTGGGGGAAGGGCAGAACCAAGCTTCCCTGCAACTGTTGTGGCTGCTCTCCCACCCTGCACTGGTACCCATGACATGGGCAACAGGCACAAGGGAACGGTGTCCCTTAACCCTGGGTGGCTATACAGTAAAGGCCACAATCTGGCCCTAAACAAGCTAATATAATACAAATGACTGGAACAGGGAGAAGAACACAGTCCAATTCCGTGTCTCTACTGAGCTAGAACCTTGACACTCAGTGAGCTCACTCATGGATTGCTGAGTACAAGAACAATAAACGCTGAGCTTTCACCTGTCCATCACAGGTCACCAAACAGTCTCTATTCTTTTATGGTATTTCAACCATTTAAGACAATGGGGCTGTGCAGGGCCTAACTCAGTGTTTGAAATGTTTTATTTATTCTGAAAACCTCTTTATTTTATCTCCAAAACCTCTAGTGCTGGTAATTGTCCTCTGAAAACTAATCCATGGTGGAACTGAATTTATTTATTAAAATGCTCAAAAAAGTAACTGAAATCTGCAGTAGCTTTATTATAGTGTCCATGATCCCCTCTGTGCTGTGAGTTTACCTGTAATCTCAAGGGTTGCACATCCATCGCGTTCCCCAGCGTCAGAATAAAGATGCCATTTATAACCTCCTTCATCAGTTGCTTTTACTTCCTGTATGTGCACTTCAGAAACATTGTGTTGTAGCACCAACCGAATTCTTCCCTCTTCACTGGAATCCTTTCGTGCCCACGTGTTTATAACGCTTTCTAAGCACGAGTTCTGTTTATTACAATTTTCACAGCGCTTAACGACCACATGTGTAATCTTCTTGTTGCTAATGCATGAAATTGTTGCCGTTTTGTTATATTCTGTCTTGACATCACTGCAGATGAAGGTTGCAAGTTCTGAGGGAGGCGGGGGAAAAAAGAAGACAAATAAATAATTACTCAAACAGAAATCATTAAGTGTAAAACAAGTGTTTGATTGCTAAAATATAGAATAGGTTTAAGTGGAGAAAACTTGTATCCGTTCGAGACCATTTGGCCATATTCTGTCCCAAGTTACACCTGTGCTACTTACATAAGCAAATATGCGCAACTGAGCACAGAATTTTAATTTGGGTTTAACTAATCTCTAGTGTAATTCCACTGATGTCTAAGGAATTACCCCTGGGGTGAATGTGCCCTAAGATGACAGACAACTGATGGCCAGCATTTAAATCTACTTTATCCAAAGAGCATTTCCAGTGGATGGAGTAGCACTGTTAGCATATTAGCACATCTTAGTCTCAGTCTTAGTCTGGAATGTGGGGGCTCGGTAGACAGGGGTTCTCCCAGGAGAGCCAAAGTGGAGGTTCCTTATTGGCTGAGCCAGTGGGAGCAGTGACCACCTGTCTGAGCTTACAGGAGACAAACGGGATATAACGATTGCTCTAAAACGGATCTGCTGGCTGATTCCAAACCACGCTGGTTGTGGTGGGAGCGGAGCTGGAGGGAAGAGGTGATGCTGTGGTTTGCAGTATCCCCTTAGACTATCAGTACTGTAATGTCTCTTCTTGCCAAGCTGCTAGTCCCTCTCCTCAGAAGGCTCTAGCTTCAGTTCTTTCTAAGTAGCCTAACTCAGTTTCCTCCTTGCCCTCGCCCCAGCTCATTGGGTTGCTGGTTTTAATTGTTAACAGTTCAGCTTTCTCCTTGGAGCATAAAATATATATTATTGTGTGATGAGAGACCAACACAGTAAAATGAGGTGACTTACGGCCGTGGGAGACACTTGAGAAAACGGACAGGAACAGGAGGCATGCAGCTGTTTTCTGGAGGGAGCCCATCAGGCGTGTGTCTCAGATGTCTGAGCTCCTGAGGTGAAAGATGCTGTAGACGTCCAGCGTTTTGGTATTATTCTATCAGAGCAGAAGAGGTGACATCAATTTCCTGGGTATAAACTTAATTTACAGCCTTGAGAATTCCTGTCCCCTTCTCATCCTGTTTAATCTCCTTTCCACCCGCAACAAAATGACCCCTCATCACAGGACTTTTACTGAAAGAAGAACCCATTGTAACATCACAGCAAATGCCTTTGGATGATGCCTGTGCAGTATAGGGAGGCAGCACGATCTAGTCAAGGAAGTGGTTGGCTGTGGGGACACTTGGGTTCTGTTGCTGATTCTGACCCCTTGTGACCCTGGCTTAGACTGTCTCTGACCCTTGTGACCACTCCCAGAGCCCACCCTAGCCTAATGGCTTGGGCACAGAAGAATGCAAGCAAGAGTATGAAAATGGTGATTTTCAAAAGTGTACATCTCAGCAAAACCTGAATGGAATTTCATGGTGCGGGGTAGGGAAGGCCCGTCTCCAGCCTGAGGGGTTTCCCTCTCCCCACATATCAAAGGCCTACTGCAAACAAGGGAGGCATGGGAGCTTCTCAAAACAACAGTTGCAAGAGTCATTTATATCAGAAAGCGTTAGGTATCCTAAATGTAGAGATTGCTACCAACCCTATCGTGCTAAAACGAAGAGGAATGTAGCTTCAAATCTGCTGTGGATTAACCACTTCTAAGGATGAGCAGGTAATTGTCTCCATGGCCAAGCAACCTTTGGTGTCTGTGCTGGAGTGGTGGCAAGGGTGCAGTGCAGTCATGGTGCAGGGGTCTGCCATGTGGACATCTGTCCTGCAGGAATTTGGCCTGAGAATCATTACTAAACCACTGAGCAGTTTTCAGACTTTAATAACTTCCCTGCGTTGCTACCATGGCTGAGATTTAAATCAGTGACTCAGGTGCTAAGCTTCTAGATCTTCCATCACTATCCTGAGACCCATCGAGCTCTCAGAAAATAAAAAACATCAGACGTATTTATTCTTCATCTGAACTTGGTGATGCTAAATAATGAAATTCCTGTATGTTTCCTTTTAAACCACCAGAGGGTGCAATGCACTCTGTTAACAAGTGACAATGCACAAAATTTATGTTAAAAGAAAAGGAGTACTTGTGGCACCTTAGAGACTAACCAATTTATTTGAGCATGAGCTTTCGTGAGCTACAGCTCACTTCATCGGATGCATACTGTGGAAACTGCAGAAGACATTATATACACAGAGACCATGAAACAATACCTCCTCCCACCCCACTCTCCTGCTGGTAATAGCTTATCTAAAGTGATCATCAAGTTGGGCCATTTCCAGCACAAATCCAGGTTTTCTCACCCTCCGCCCCCCCCCCCCCACACACACACACAAACTCACTCTCCTGCTGGTAATAGCCCATCCAAAGTGACCACTCTCTTTCAAATGTGTATGATAATCAAGGTGGGCCATTTCCAGCACAAATCCAGGTTTTCTCACCCCCCCCCACCCTCCTCCAAAAACCACACACACAAACTCACTCTCCTGCTGGTAATAGCTTATCCAAAGTGACCACTCTCCTCACAATGTGTATGAAAATCAAGGTGGGCCATTTCCAGCACAAATACAGGTTTTCTCACCCCCCCACCCCCTTTTTTTCAAAAAAACACACACACAAAAACTCACTCTTGCACTTCTAATCTTTGCAAGTTTCAGGTCCTATCCTCCCGCCTCAGGCTACTAGCAACTCCTAAGGACATTCCTCTCTCTTTCACAGCGCTTAAGTATATGGAGGATGCTGTACAGAAATAAACATCATTATTTAGACCTGTCATTATTTAGAGGGATGCTGTTAACTTGAAAACAATCTTACTTTTCTCTGAAAATTTTGCACCTTCTATTCTTACAAGGTTATTATCAGTGAACAAAGTTTTAAAAAGTGTATTTTGTACATAGTCAATTTCACCGTTTCCCCTAAACAGTCAATTGACCATGATCGTGTAAAAAATTAAGCTGAACTTAATTAAGCTGAACTTCACTGAGCTCAGTTAAGGAATTACTCATAAAGATCCTTATAAGCATCAACCAGGGAACAGAAACGTCCTTATAACATCTTTAAAGGAATTTAAGCAAACATTTCGGACATACTATTTCAAAGGTGGGCTAACAGAAGCAAGTCAAATTAGAGTCAAATTTAAAAAAAATCAAGTTGGCTGATGTCATACCCCAATGAACAGTGCCATTAAATCCAATGGAAATCAACAATTCTTTGTGTGTGAAATCTTACCGCCTAGGCACAGTCCATTTTTTCCCCCACCCAATTCTAGACTGTCCATCCGTCTTTTTCTTACTCACAGGTTTGCTGGAATGATTAGCCTACATGACTGGAGTGGCCTCTTAGTTTGGCCTGAAAAAAAGCCATAATTTTTGAGGCTTTCAAAGGTATCTGGAAATCTCTGGGAACGCTTTCAGTGTCCTCCCTATCACATTGATGAAAATCATGGATTTGAATGTAGTGCTCAGGAAAGGGTTCCCTTAAGACTGAGTCCGACTTAGCATATGAAGCTGATGCTGGGCAAACTTCTCCCACAGGCTTAATTAACGCTCCTCAATCCCATCCTGCGACATCAACTTATTCTGCTGCTAAATCTGCACACAGCTTTGCCAGCGCCCCTCAGCCCTGGCTTGCAGCATGGCTGTTGTTCCATTCCTAGGCCCACACGCAGCTCTGCCAAAGCATCTCAACACTGATCTGCAGCACCAGCTTTTTTGCCTACAGACCTTCAATGTACCAATGTACCTTCATTCTGGCTGAAACTAGAGGCAAAGGGCATCCTGCAAAAATGAACTAATGAAAAATTGTACATGGATTTTCAGAGACCAACATTTACCAGTTTTTCCCAGCTCTGATGTTGATCTGTGAGCCGTATACCACTCTGTACATAGATTGTGGCCTGTTCTGTATATTTTGTGTGGATTTCACAAAATGTGTATGAAATATTTGGACAGTTCTACAAGGGTTTCACGTGGGGCGTTTTATGCAGACTAGTAGAATCAGGCACGCACTTAACTAAACTTTTCATTAATGCCCAGATCTACTTGTCCTTGAAATAGATAGCTTGATAAAAATGAGGAGGAGGGAACCAGGAATATGAATTAATGAGTCCTGTAGCAGCACTAAAGGGGCCATCACCAGAACAGCACAATGGGGGAGTGACACTCAGCCCCCATTGTTTGCACCTATGCCTTGAAGTGACCTCATTTTCCATCCAGCCCTTAAGGTAACATATTGTGCAATACCAAGTACCAGCGAAAGTCAGCGGGACATTAACAAGAGGCTCTGTACTTTTCGTGTCCATTTGTCAATAAAAATGGATTAAAAAAAAAAGATAAGCCAGAGTCACTAACAGGTATGGTAGAGCATTAAAAACTGTCATGCAGGGGGCTGGAGAACAGCTCCTACCTGTCTATGGCTGAAAGATGTTAACACAGAGGTAGGTGCATATCATTAAGGAGCACTTACATTAAGGGTGGTTAGTATTGAATGCAAAGTGTTGTAACTTGAATAAAGACACATGTAAGACCCCACCTATACTGTGAAAAGCCACTGGTTGGTGGTTCCACTACGGTTACTGCCTGACACAGTTAGCAACATGGTTCAGGCATGCAGTGTAGTGAAAGGGAAAAAACGTGATCCAGGAAACTACAGGCCTATTCGTTTGACCTCAATAGTATGCCTGGTCTTGGAACAAATTTTGAAAGAGAAAGTAGTTAAAGAGGTAAACGTAATTGGGATAAAATACATCATGATTTTACAAAAGGTAGATCGTGCCAGACCAACCTGATCTCCTTCTCTGAGAAGGTAACTGATTTTTTAGACAAAGGAAATGCAGTAGAACTAATCTACCTGGATTTTAGGAAGGCATTTGACACAGTCCACTTGGGAAATTATTAGTTAAATTGGAGAACATGGGGATTAATATGAGAACTGAAAGGTAGATAAGGGACTGATAAAAGGAGAGACTACAGTGGGTCATACTGAAAGGTGAACTGTCAGGCTGGAGGGAGGTTACTAGTGGAGTTCCTCAGGGATCGGTCTTAGTACCAATCTTATTTAACATTTTTATTACTGACCTTGGCACATCAAGAGAGGTATTTCAAATAGAGACAGGGAAGTGTTAGTACTGTTATACAAGGCACCTTTGAGACCTCATCTGGAATACTGTGTGCAATTCTGGTCTCCCATGTTTAAGAAAGATGAATTCAAACTGAAACATGTGCCGAGAGGGGCTACTAGGATGATCCGAGAAATGGAGAACCTGCCTTATGAGAGGAGACACAAAGTACAAAACAATGTAGAAATATTTTGCAATCAATACGTAGCCTTAGTCTCATCTCGTGGCAGGCAAAAGCAATCTTTGTGGGATTAAAACATTTGGGAAAATATTCAAAATTGCAGAGAATTGTTTGCATATCCTAAGCAACATGCATAAAACAAAAGCAACAAGGAACTTCCTTCTACAGGATATGTTCTAAAAGCATGAGTTGCTCAGCTGATGACTTAGATTTTCAATACAAATTCCTAACTGACTGTTTAAACTGGAAACCAGCAAGCTTTGCAATGGAAAAAAAAACAATCTGGCTGTCACCTGTTCAGAGCCTGGAAAAGAATAACCTAGTACGGTACCTGAAAGCTGACAAGCATCCAGAATAAGTTTTCGATCCCTGACTGCTTCATTCCCTAGTAAAGTCACTTCCAGCAGTTGGCAATCTTGCAAGAAAAGGACTTCAGCTGTAAGCTATAAGCTTTCCCACTCCAGTTTATTCTGCAGATGCTTTGGCCCATGGGGTTGTTTTCATAGCCTGGCAAAAAGAGAAGGAGTACTTGTGGCACCGTTGAGACTAACAAATGGTGAGTCAAAGCGGGAATTTTCCTGCTTCGTGTTTATCCCTGAGCTCATGGTACAAAATGAAATGAAAGGACTGGATTTCCCATCATAACACCAAGGAACTTTCATTTCATTTTCATTCTGGGCCATCACCAGAACAGCACAATGGGGG